AATGTCACAGATGAAATCTAGCCCAATTAAGCATTAGCACATCTAATTTCCATGGAGAATATTTCGCCCTGCCCCCTTAGTCATGGTCTATTAATTTACTTTGAAACTTTTGCTAAGTTTACATGTATTAGTTTGTGATTAGATCAGTTTAAGATGAACTGCTAATGTTAAGTCAATGATATTTGGTATGCAAATTTATTGGCATTTGCAAGTATCATTTCCATGGAGATTATATAGTCCCACCCCTGATCATGGTTCATTGACTTTGAAACTTTTACATAGTTTACAAGTTAGTGTTTGTGTTTAGGTTTGTTTAAAGGGAACGACTTATAATAAGTCAATGGTATTTGGTATGCAGTTGTATTAGCATTGGCACATCTCATTCCATGGAGATTGTTTAGCCATGTACCTTCAGTCATGGTTCATCGACTTTTAATATTTGCATAACTTACATGTTAAAGTATTGCTATTTTAATTTCAACACTTGCATTATCAAAATTACAAAAAGGCAAGACATATCTCTGTGATAACAGTTTATTTAATATTATGAATTCATTTTTTAATATAAGAAATTCATTTTCTAATATTAAAAAATCACATTTTTTTAATATTAAAAAATGAATTCTTAATATTAGAAAATGATTTTTTAATATTAAAAAATAGCTCTCTTTGTCCACTTTGGCCTTCCATACATATTGAAATATCAGTGAAAGTGACCTGAACCTTAGCCATGGCTTTTAAGTTGGATAACTGAAATATCAGTGAAAGTAAATTTAACGTTAGCCGTAGATTTTTAGTTTTCATCATACATTTTTTTTTCAATTTTTAAGCATTAAAAATTATTCCAGATTGAAATAATTCCTTGTTTTATGAATATATGTTTAACTGACAGGAATCAAACAACATTGACCCTACTTCATGGTTTTGTGATCAATGTTACAATTTTATGGTTTGCTTAGTTTGTCCTTTAACTAGTTATATGTCAACTATATATTTTGCAAAATCCTATTTGTCTAACAGGGGTCAGTCACCTGACTTTAACTCATTTTCATGGTTCAATCACCATATTGTTTTCATGGTTAGGTTAGTGTCATAGATATTATAATTAATATCCACAACTATGTAGTTGTTTATGGAATCATTTTAAGGTGACCATCTCCCTCTGACTGGAATCTCACCAGCTGACCTTGATATAGGAATAAGTAGATGTGGTATGATAACCAGTGAGACAACTATACACAGAGACCACAGGATGAGGATGTTAACCTCTATAGGTCAATGTACATGTATAACCCTCAACAGTTAAACACCTTTTTTCATATCCTGTAAATTCAGAAACTTTTGAGATGTTGTTTAATGAGAAAATTGCAACAGGAAAGGATTTGCAAAAAATAACTCACATTTTCAATTTTGATAGCATTATTTGTATGCAACATTTTCTGAAATCCCAATAATTAACATCTCATTTTTGTCCATTGTTCAATGATAGCAATAATTAACATCTCATTTTTGTCCATTGTTCAATAATCGCAATAATTAACATCTCATTTTTGTCCATTGTTCAATGATAGCAATAATTAACATCTCATTTTTGTCCATTGTTCAATAATCGCAATAATTAACATCTCATTTTTGTCATTTGTTCAATGATAGCAATAATTAACATCTCATTTTTGTCATTTGTTCAATGATAGTAATAATTAACATCTCATTTTTGACATTTGTTCAATGATAGCAATAAATAACATCTCATTTTTGTCATTTGTTCAATGATAGCAATAATTAACATCTCATTTTTGCCATTTGTTCAATGATAGCAATAATTAACATCTCATTTTTATACGACCGCAAAAAATTTATGGTGTATGGATCTCTCTGAAATTATACTACAAGTTTCCATACCACAAAGGGATGGTTAGGTTTTGCTTTGGGGGGTTATGGCTCAAACCGTTTAGGAATTAGGGGCAAAAAGGGGGAAAAACAAGGTTGTCCTGGTTAATGGACAAATATTTTAGTACAAAACATAATTTAAAGCAGTGTAAGGGAGATAAATCAAATACATCATTGAAATTTCCTCCCTTACACTGCTTTTAAATTATGTATAAAGTAATGGTTAATGAACAATTAAGATAATTTAAAACAGTATAAGGGAGGTAATCCAAATACGTTTTGGTTACTTCCCTTACACTGCTTTTAAATTATGTTAAAAGAAATGCATATTTATAGAGGAAGACCAGTAAAAATATCTGCAAATGTTGCATCTTTTTTTTTTACAAAAAAATCCATATGAAAGATTTGACACTATATTTTAAATTCTATTATAAATAGATTAAGTTAGCACTATGGTAAATTTAAATGGGTAATTATGGTTGCAAACTCCATTGGAAATTTGAATTGAGATTATGACCATATCTTGAGGGAAAGAATTGTTTGGGGGAAAAAAGGGGGGGGGGGAGTAAAAAGAAACTGTGGGGGGTCAATTTTTTCTCATTTCAGATTTCAGAAATTAAAAAGAATTATTCTTCAAATATTTTTTTTTATTCAAATTTCAAGAAGTAATCTTTAATTGCACAGTATGGCACATTAGATTTGTAAAATCTTTGACCACATTTATTTATTTGTTATGCCGAATCTAACCGTGTATTTAGATTTTTAATTTTGGGTCCAGTTTTCAAATTGGTCTACATTAAGGTCCAAAGGGTCCAAAATTAAACTTTGTTTGATTTTAACAAAAATTGAATTCTTGGGGTTCTTCGATATGCTGAATCTAAACATGTATTTAGATTTTTGATTTTTGGCCCAGTTTTCAAGTTGGTCCAAATTGGGGTCCAAAATTAAACTTTGTTTGATTTCAACAAAAATTGAATATATGGGGTTCTTTGATATGCTGAATCTAACCATGTATTTAGATTTTTTATTTGTGGGCCCCGCTATCAAATTGGTTCATATTTAGGTCAAAAGGGTCCAAAATTAAACTTTGTTTGATTTCATCAAAAATTGAATTATTGGGGTTCTTTGATATTCCAAATCTAACCGTGTATTTAGATTTTTAATTTTGGGTCCTGTTTTTTAAATTGGTCTACATTAAGGTCCAAAGGGTCCAAAATTAAACTTAGTTTGATTTCAACAAAAATTGAATATATGGGGTTCTTTGATATGCTGAATCTAACCATGTATTTAGATTTTTTATTTGTGGGCCCCGCTATCAAATTGGTTCATATTGAGGTCAAAAGGGTCCAAAATTAAACTTTGTTTGATTTCATCAAAAATTGAATTATTGGGGTTCTTTGATATTCCAAATCTAACCGTGTATTTAGATTTTTAATTTTGGGTCCTGTTTTTTAAATTGGTCTACATTAAGGTCCAAAGGGTCCAAAATTAAACTTAGTTTGATTTTAACAAAAATTGAATTCTTGGGGTTCTTTGATATGCTGAATCTAAACATGTGTTTAGATTTTTGATTATGGGTCCAGTTTTCAAGTTTGTCCAAGTTGGGGTCCAAAATTAAACTTTGTTTGATTTCAACAAAAATTGAATATATGGGGTTCTTTGATATGCTGAATCTAACCATGTATTTAGATTTTTTATTTGTGGGCCCTGCTATCAAATTGGTTCATATTGAGGTCAAAAGGGTCCAAAATTAAACTTTGATTTCATCAAAAATTGAATTATTGGGGTTCTTTGATATTCCAAATCTAACCGTGTATTTAGATTTTTAATTTTGGGTCCTGTTTTTTAAATTGGTCTACATTAAGGTCCAAAGGGTCCAAAATTAAACTTAGTTTGATTTTAACAAAAATTGAATTCTTGGGGTTCTTTGATATGCTGAATCTAACCATGTATTTTGATTTTGGACATTGGACCATAATAGGTAAATTAAAAAAATTCAAGTTCTTGGACCACATTCTTTCTGTGTCAGAAACCTATGCTGTGTCAAATATTTAATCACAATCCAAATTCAGAGCTGTATCAAGCTTGAATGTTGTATCCATACTTGCCCCAACTGTTCAGGGTTCAACCTCTGTGGTCGTATCAAGCCGCGCCCAGCGAAGCATTTTATTGTCATTTGTTCAATGATAGCAATAATAAATGCACACAAAAATTTCTAAATTAACAGTAAAAAGCTATAAGAGCTTAACATGAAAAAATGTGAAACTTTTAAAAGAAGAAAACCAAATACGACAGGAAGCAATCAACAATAACAACTTAACTACAGGCTTCTGACTTCCCTATTACCCTTAAAGAATGTGATGGGGTTAAACATGTTTGTGAGTCCTGAATCCTCCCTTTGTCCTGGAAAATCAAGTCCAATAAAAACAACAACATAATTGCCAAAAATAAAGAAGACAAAAAGACAAAAACAACAATTACCAAGACTACACAGAAAACCAAAAATCAAGAACACATAATGCATAAAAAATCAGGGATGAACCTTGATGCTTCAGAAGGGTAAGCAGTTCCTGCTCGACGTGGTACCTGAGCTGTTGCTCAATCAAGTACAAACTTAGTGATAAGTCACAATCATTAAAGTAACAATTGATGAATAGAGGACAGGATTGTGGTTATAAGTGGAACATCTCCATGGTGAACTGCGACAGATATTCCATAACGGTAAACAAAATCATCATGATGACCGATGTCCATAAAGCTTGGAACCCTTGATGTTTAAGCTACTTGGTAAGCAGTATCCTCTTGATAGGAAACACAAGCTCTGGAATATGTCAAAAATGAGCAAAACCCATACCATATAGTAAGCTATAAAGAACTTAATTCAATTTGTTTTTTTTTTCATTTGTTGGGTTACTGTCTTCATTGAAGTATACACACCATCTCCTTTTATTCATAGGAAGAAACAAAGACCTGAAAATGTAAACAAAAGGCCATATATGTTGTATGCTTTTAAAAATGCTGCAAGATTTTTATGGTATAGAAATATGATGAGATGGAATTTACAACATATTTCTAATTAGGGACCAAATTCACAGAAATAAAAAACCTGATTTGTTGCAAATTTTTAATCAAAAATGCAGACTATTTATTACAATAATAACATAAAAACTTATACAACATAACAAGTATCTAATCATTCTTTAATAACCATAAAAACTATGCTTTCTGAATATATAACAGACTTCAATAATAAAATGAATTATATACCCCCATAATAAACAACAAAACACACAGGTGATTCCAATCACAAAATGATTCAACAAATATTAATAACCTTTTTTTATTTTGTGGGACTACTTTCATTTGTGAATTTCAAGTTTTGTGATTTGTTGAAATATTATTTGTTTATCAACATATTAGACTCTGCGCATAACAAATCAGTTAAAGATATATATATATATACAATTCAAACCCATTTTTTGTGATTTTTAAAATAATCATTGAATCTTGGGTTTAAAATTTCAAATTCTACACTTTATAATAAAAGAATCACTTAAAAAAAAAAAACCATTTCATTGGATATTAAATTTTATTGTTGTCACTAATCATGAAATTCACAAATATTGGTAATTTCACAGTAATGCATATTGCCAATAGCTATTGATGGGAATACCTGAGGCAGATTTAATGGGGCAAGGGGCCAGAATACAAGATGTGTTGACAAGGCTTAAAACCATTAAGATACCTGGTTGATAAATGTTGGAAAAAGCAGCTGTATTTTGTAGTTAAACATTTTTAGCTTGACTCTTAATTATATATCATTTACTCTACTTAATTCTAGAGACACAAAGTATAATATTATTTTTTTGTTATTATCTGATTTCAAATAAGTTTTAAAAACCATGATAATGAATGGACAAAACAAAAGAATTGTGCTTGTTAACACTTTAAAGAATAAAAGTGATTTTTGTGATCTATTATTTATTTTATGTGTTGATTAATGAGAAATGTTTTTATCATTTCTTTCTTGGAATCTTGATTTTAAGAAATTTCATTATATAGAGGAGACCCTAGTGATGCTTATATTTAAACACTCTAACCTTAACAGAAGTTACAGCCACTTTATTGATGCTTCAACATTTGTGGAAATCTGCAAGGTGTAACATAACATGAATTTGCTCAATGGCTCTATAGATTGTAATATTATATTAGCAATAACCATTTTCTGTTATTGTTCTTAAATAATATCAACAATGAATATTTAATAGTTAATATAATACCAGGGTTCAGATGGGTTTATGATTTTTCCTTAAAAGTTTTCTATGACACTTTTTAATTCATCCATTATTAAATAGCCTTGAAACGATGGAAAAAAGGGAGTTCAGAAAATCAGAAAAAAAAACAAAAGAGACACGAGAAGACTAAAACAACAGGCAAATCATTGATATTGATATTTAAAATCCAGCAGAAAAATAGCAGAAACAACTCATATAAATTTCCATGATTTGCAATGATTTCTTAGCAACACTGTCCTCTAAGCCCTCTTTACACTTGCATTTCTTACCAGATTTTCTATTGTATTAGTTAAAATGATTTGGAATTAAAATATCAGTCTTCAAAGTTTTTCAGTTTGCCAGTCTGAAAGTAAATCTGATCAATTTTTTCCTCTTGCCATCCATGATTGTTTGTTTCTCATCAACTTGTTCTTCTTTTCAACCATTAAAAATACAGAAACTACACCTTGCAGTTATTAAAGATGCAATAGAACGTTCTCAGCAGAAGCTAACATGTAAAATTATCCAAACTGAAAAATGTAGATGAAAAAAAAAAAAAAAACAGGAATTTTCTTTCTGTGCCTTTTTTTTTGGTAATTAATCATTTTAAAATGTGTATACCCTGGTATTACAATCTTATGCAATATGTGTTCTCTTACACAAGTAAATTGATAGTCATATATATATATATACCAAAGTAAGAAAAAATGAAACACAGTTTTTATACTTGCCATTGTTATTTTCATATTTTTCTTTGGTTCTCTTTGACCTTGGAATATAAAAAATAATACAACAATAAAAATGTTTTTTCTAGTAAAACTAGAGGCTCTCAAGAGCCTGTGTCGCTCACCTGTATTTACTGATGCTTTGGAAATCATGTAAAATAAGGTTAAAATCATAATTAATAGTATTAGATATTAGATATTATAATGATATCTAAGATAATAACAAAAAACTGCAAAATTTTTGTAAAATTACTAACTCAGGGGCAGCAACCCAACAACGGGTCATCGGATTTGTCTGAAAATTTCAGGGCAGATAAATCTAAATCTGATGAACATTTTTGCCACCTGTCAGATTTGCTCTAAATGCTTTAGTTTCAGAGATATAAACCAAAAACTGCATTTTACCCCTATGTTCTATTTTTAACTAAGTTGGCCATGATGGTTGGAAGGCGGGGTCATCGGACAAATTTTTTAAACTAGATACCCTAATGATGATTATGGCCAAGTATGGTTAAATTTGTATTAGTAGTTTCAAGGAAGAAGATTTTTGTAAAAGATTACAAAATTTTACGAAAAATTGTTAAAAATTGACTATTAAGGGCAATAACTCCTAAAGGGGTCGACTGACAATTTTGGTCATGACAACTTATTTGTAGATCTTACTTTACTGAACATTATTGCTGTTTACAGTTTATCTCTATCTATAATAATATTCAAGATAATAATCAAAAACTGCAAAATTTCCTTAAAATTACCAATTCAGGGGCAGCAACCCAACAACAGGTTGTCAGATTTGTCTGAAAATTTCAGGGCAGATAGATCTTGACCTGATAATCAGTTTTACCCATGTCAGATTTATTCTAAATGCTTTGGTTTCAGAGATATAAGCCAAAATCTACATTTTATCCCTATGTTCTATTTTTAGCCATGGCGGCCATCTTGGTTGGTTGGCGGGGTCATCGGACAAATTTTTAAAACTAGATACCCTGATGATGATTGTGGCAAAGTTTGGTTAAATTTGGCCCAGTGGTTTCAGAGGAGAAGATTTTTGTAAAAAGCTAACGACGACGACGACGGACAACGGACGACAGGTGATGAGAAAAGCTCACTTGACCCTTCAGGTCAGGTGAGCTAAAAATATGCTTGTTATCCACTTTTTTTCAAAACAATCATGGTAGTGCAAATATTTACTCCCCAGCTACATATTTATCCATGTAAAACTTTTATAATTTTGCAACATATGTCTACTGAAATGACCCAATTTTAATCATAAGCTGACCAATTGTTGCTTGCTGAACATCCAGAAGCAAATACTTCATTCATCTTCAAGAATAAAATACAATGATATACAAATTGGAGTAAAATTACAACCAAAAGCAATCCCTTCATGGAATGTGTGGAAATATCTAACAAAAAAAATAAATATCTGCAAGATTTTTGTATGTAAAATACAAGCAGAATACAATTAAAACTTAGACAAAAGTGTATTTACAAAATACAAAATAGATAATGATCTAAATGTACCAACAAAAACATCCCAAACTGCTCACCTAGAGTAGATGAAAGAGTAAATAATGGAAGTAAATTGATGAAGTAGAAGAAAATCTATCAATATTTGCATCCAGAATTCTACAATTTTAGTTTCTAAGTTGTCAACCCTTTTCTTCGTTATAGGTGTCAAACCACGAATTCACCTCCTTCAATATAGAACATATGTGAAAGTAGCCCTTCCCAGAAAAAAAATAGTGCTTTTGATGTCATTGTTTACTTAAACTAACAAACAAATTTGCAGAAATGAAACTTATGGTGAAAGAGAAATATATGTACACCATTTTGAGCCAAAATTTACTTGTCCCTGATTTTGAATTAAAAACTGAGGATTAATGCTCTCCATAGTATACTTATTTAGGATTTCCAGAAAACCAGCAGTTATTTTTAGTAGCAGTTGATTTCCGAACCGTGATGTTTCACTGGAAGACTCTAAACATTGGTTGAAAATTGGCATATAGAAAGGTGATACATGTACAATTCAGAATATAGCTGGCTTCTATGAAGTTAAACTTAAGGTCAAATATTTAGAAAGCTGTTAAAATTGAAAAATCTGGTTGATTATATAGAGGTTTTGAATTGGTGGTCTAACACCTATATGTGATATCTCAAAATTGAATATTATTTCAGACTGAACACACGTTTCTCCTGTAATCAAAATAAATTTCAGCTTAGACAATTTTAACAAACATAAGAAAATGCATTTGAGAATGATCCATACAAAATAGACACTTTCTACTAACATTGAATGAATGAAAAGCGATGATCACAACACATGTACAAATTATGTCCAGGTGAGGTAAGATTTGGCACTAATTCTGGGAACATTGACTGGTATATGATATTGCATGATATTATCAGCAACATTATATACTCATCAGTTCAATATTCTTAAGGATTTAGTGCACCAAACCTTTAGTAAACTTTAAAATAAATGTGAGTATTCTTCTATTAAATGTTAATTCAAAGTCTGTAAATATTTAAACGTGATAAAAAGTGTCATGTTTAACATTTAATTGCAAATTTGAATTTATAAGATTGCAACCATAAATCTTATATGACAAATAATCTTAGATTTATGCTAAAATAAAAACATCACATTAATTTTTTAATTTACTCTAATCTTGTTATGTTTAACAGAGAAAGATCTGACATGAAACTACATAATAATTTTCTGCCTATTCAAACACAAGTATATCTGTATGAATTTAATGTCCCTGTTTAGAAAAAAAAAAATTTTATTCTTGCAATACAATATAATGTGAATTCTCATTTCAAATACAAACGTGACTGACCTTTTTGAGTGTATAACTGAAGAATTGTAAATGATCAACGTCATTTAGAGTTTCTTATCAGGTGTATACCTAACTTTGTACAATCAATAGAAATTGTTAATGCATGTAGTTTCAGTTTTATAACAAATGTTTTTTTTTAATCAGAAGTAAAAGCAGATCTTTCTTAGTCAAAAATAACATGAGTAATAAGTTTCTAAGTAGAAGCAGGTCATGGACAAACTAAACCTGCAGGACTTAGTTTCCTTATATCTGGTCAGCAGGCACCAATGTCCTGTCAGCAATGTGAAGTATGTAAGTTAAGAGAAGGTAACCAGTCATGAAATAAAAATGCCCTGTCTGTCTTGATCTGAGGTCATGACCTAGTTCAGCTAGTCAATTGACATAATTCTAAGGAAGCGAATGGGTTAACAGACAAACTTTTCCTTTTGTAAAAATTAATGGGAGAAGACCCAAGTATTATAAAAAAATTTCCATTCACAACCAGATCTTCAAATAAGGAAAGTTCAACTTCAGTTAAATGAGTATTGTAAAGGATGCTAAGTGTACAGAAAAATGAGAAATAAAAATGTGATTTTGAGGAGCAGGAAATAGGATCTTTTTTGCTTCATTAGTTCATTTTATATACTAGCATTAAGCATAACCAAAAAGGCCTATCACCATGAGGACTCTATACAAACTATTTGCAAAAAAATAACCTGTCACCATCCCCTTCAAAAATATTTCCTCCCAAAAGGCAGATATATAAAGACATTAACGCGCTGTGCTTACCAGAAACCTTTTGACATATTCTGCTTCTGCTTAGAAACTTTTATTCTAAGTGATACCCAGGTTATAGTAGTCTCTAAAGACAATAATAAAAACTACAGCACTGAAAAAAACTCTTGTTTTTAGTGTCAACAGACATTGTATTTTTAGTGTCAACAGACATTGTATTTGAAGAACGAGCAAATTCATGAGCCTACTAAGCTAATTGAACATTTCCTCTTCAGTTGGCTTAGAGACCCACACTCGCATCTTCTGATCCTTGAATTTCTTCAGCATCACCTGTTTAGCCTGCTGAAAGTCTATAGCCATTTGTTTGGCTTTGTAATAGTTATCAGCTTGTAAAAGATCCTGACGCCCAAACTTCTGACAAACATGTTTGAAAGCATCATAGAAATTCCTCTTTGTACATCTTGAGAACATACTTCCTTTCTCTATTCTGAAATGCAAAGAAATTGACTATTCAGATATTATGACTTTGTAAAATATACTTTTTAGACATCCCTTCCATACTCTGATGTTCATGGAATACATTATAAGTTATATGGTTCGCTACTGACCCCCTACGGATCCATAGAGGGTTAGTAAAATCCATAGGGGGTGAGGCGGGAGGCCGAATCCCCTGCAGATTTTACTCACCCTCTATGGTCCGTAGGGGGTCAGTAGTTAACTGTATAACGAATTTATCGCACGCTGGTCTTTTTCTGCTGCGTTTTGTTGAAAAATAAACAATGGAACACAACAACATTAATAGATGACGTCACCATTAACAGTAGACGTGATGTCATGAACCCCCTATGAAATTTACTAACCCCCTACGGATCCATAGGGGTTCACCACGTGACAGCTTTAAACCAATCAAAACGTGATAATTTACTTGCGGTGCGATAATATCAATGAAAACTTGCTGGAGTAATTTCCTCTTTGACTAATATTAAGATAAGGAGATGTTGGATGATCACCAATGCGATAACAATCAACTAGAGTCCAAACAAGAGTGCACACACATCCTGCTTTACTAAATATGATTGAATTTTTATGTTGAAAGTATTTGAAGATTGTATGAGAGGTATAATGAACTCATGATACTATCAATGAAAGTGAGGTCAATGACAGATGAACTCTGTACAATTGCTAGTAACAATGAATCTATACATCAAATGCAAGTGTCCTTTTTCATTGTATGTTTTTATTTAATAATTCATATTTTTCTGGTGTAGCTTACATTTGTAATAGTCATAAACTATGTATATATAAAAAAAAAACATGTGATATGATCGCCAACTAGACAACTCCACAAGAGACCAAATGACATAGAAGTTAACAACTATAGGTCACCATACAGCCTTCAACAATGAGCAAAACCCATATTGCATAGTCAGCTATAAAAGGCCCCTAAATGAAAATGTAAAACAATTCAAACAAGAAAACTAACGGCCTGATTTATGTACAAAACAATGAACGAAAAACAAATATACCCAGTATAACATCTTCCCTCAGTGCCATCTGTCACTTCTGGTCTGTCATCATAGAAATTCCAGTTTACGCTTAGAGCTTTTGTTTTCTGTGTCTCCCTAGATGGCTCACATGCTGTGATTCGTCCTAACCAAGGATGGTTCAGCCTATAACCACTTGGTAACATGGTTTCTACTTTTGGTTCATCTCTGTCTACTCGACAACACATTGCTCTTGATAAGTGGCCATGATCATATAGGAATCCTACAGTTATTAAGAAAAAATCCTATCAATTGCTGAATTGTGCAGCAAAAATTTATTGAAGCAGTATTTTGCAGGCATGTGTATAGTACTGATTTCATAAATAAATAATTTTCAATTATAAATTTATAAATATATAAAATATATATATATATAATTATACTTCAATACTTTAAATGACATGCACAAGTATTACATTAGTAAACGTATGTTACCAAATTCCTACATTATTTGAATATAAATTATATACCAATTATAATTGAAAATGTAATCAGAGCTATGATTTTTCTGAATAGTCAATTACAATTTGACACTAACACTACTCAGAAATATATTGTAAACATATTGCACTAAAACACATTTGTCTAATAAGTAAATAAAGTTATAAATTAAGCTTCATACAGGACAGACTATTTGTGGTTTTTTTTTGAAGATACTGCTGAAGTAATTTATACAAACTTCCATGTTTTTTTAACTTTGAGCCTCTTGAAAAACCAGCCCAATTTCATATATTAGAAAACATACCTAATGTTAAAGAGCTAAGATATATTGGATCTATGAAATGACTGAGTAATGCCCCTTGCATTCCTAAAACATTCCAGCGACACAGTTTGTCTGAGCATGACATAGTTCTTAATCGCTCTCCACGCAGAATCCCATCAAAGGTCTGTGCCACAAAATCTTCATCAACTGGTATTGTGCCTTCCCCTAAAATATTCCTTCATCTTACTTTTGCATTGAAATAATTTGAATTACATTATTTCACTGCTTTAAACTATTATCATAATTTTAAACGTGTTTCAAATTTGAAATAAACTATTCAGACAAATTTCTAATTCAATTTTTAAGCTATAATAAACTGCTTCGCCAAGCGCAGCTGGATACGACCGCAGAGGTCCAACCCTGAACAGTTGGGGCAAAAATGGACACAATATTCAGGTCTGAATTTGGATTGTAATTAAATATTTGACACGTTATAGGTCTCTGACACAGAATAAATGTAGTCAAAGAACTCGTAATTGGTTATATGATTTGAATTTATATTCAACTGAAGACTTCTTGCTTTCTGCAATACACTGTGCTGTTGCGTAATACTTATAATTAGTTAATCTGTTTTCAGACTTAAACAAAGAATTAGCCAAATAAATTGTGACCCTCAATTTTTCTTTGGAAAATTGACAATTTCTTAAATCCTGAAGAAAAAAAATTGACCCCCCCCCCCCCCCACCTTAATTTGAAGAAATTTTCTTTTTAATTTCTTAAATCTTGAGGAAAAAAAATTGCCCCCTCTCCAAACATTTTTTTTTACCCGCAAAATTTTTACCCCCCCTTTTCCAAAAAAAAACATTTGAAGAAAATTTTCTTTTTGTAAAATGTGGTACAATTTAAGAGACATCAGTACACTTAAACACAAATTATTGTCTGAAAACTAGAAAAATGCTTGTTTTTGACCCTTTTTGGCCTCTAATTCCTGAACGGTTTGGGCAATTACCCCTAAAATGAATCCCAACCTTCTACTTGTGGTACAATTTCAGAGCAATCGAAATACTTATACACAAGTTATTATCCTGAAACTAGAAAAATGCTTTTATTGGGCCCCTAATTCCTAAACGGTTGGGACCATCACCCCCAAAAACCATCCCAACCTTCCTTTTATGGTATTGAACCTTTGGTAAAATTTCATGGAGATCCATACACTTAAACTTAAGTTATTGTCCGGTAACCAAATGTCTTCTGACGACGACATGATACCAATATACGACCCCAAAACTTTTTTGCGGTCATATAAAAAGGGAAAATAAAAGAAATTAAATAAATATGTCCATAACAAAATAATGTTTTTTTATAATAAGTCATACCTCCTTCCATTTTAGTCCTAAGTACACCCTGGACCTGGTTGGCAAATGTTGGCTGATGAGTTTTATCATTAAGGGACTGTAAAGGAGCATTGTTAGATTCAGAATCCCTGTTAAAAAAACAAAACGTCAACAAAATATTTAAAGTTCATTCACCATATTGAAAAATTCAAAGTATCTGCAAACAGGAAGTAAGTTTCTGACAGATCAGAAAAGTGCTCATATTACAACTCATCACTGTGAAGACGATGACCAAATATGAAGTTGTTTGTTTCAGTTTTTTACCAAGTGAGAAGAAAATATTTAGTATCAACTGACAGATATACGAACAAATAAGGTAATTGCAATTTATTCCCCACTTTTAGAGTGGGAGTATAAATTATATCCAGTTTCACACTGTAAATTTGATACTACTTTGCACAAAATATATTGAGATGGTTTTTGATGAAATGGTTTATATATTCTTTGACTTCTGACAGTTTTAAAAAGCACCATGACCTCTTGACCTTACCTCGGTGAGAATAAAGCTCCATCTCCACATGGTGCTGTAGATATATACAAGTGGAAAGTTATCCCATCTTTAATCTTTAACTTTCCTGATGATGAAGGTTCCAATATCTCATCATTAACACCAGGCTGAAATGACAGCAATCTTCTGTACAAGAACCTGTAAAGCGATAATTACAATAACAATATATCAGATTTCCATTTCATAAGTAAGAAAACAGTGAAATAAAGTTACAGTCTTCCAAAAGTTATTGTATAGAAAACTTTAACCATAGGAAGGACGGTCAATTTTAATCTGATCAGTGGTAATTGCTTCTGGCAGCTCTGCATTCATAGACATGTATCAAGATATGCACATAATATGCATATAAGGCTTTCATTAGCTACATTCTACAAATTTAAGTTTTCCCTCTAACCTAAAGGGAGCTTTTCTTTCATCCATTCAAAAATTCTATACAAATCTTGATCCAAGCATTGATTCTGGAGTAATTGCAAAATATGCAAACAGATATTAGACAGCAGTTTACTATACTATGGCCTGTTTGTTAAATGCATATAAAAATTGCTTTAAATTTGGCGGTTAAAGTTCCATAGCTCTGGTTTAGTAAATCAAATTAAAAGGGAGCTAGCTTACTTCCACCAATTCCACCAACAATACTGAAGTAATTTGATCCAAGTGCATTAAGTAAGTGGGTGACAAATGAAAAAAATCTTATGGTTGAAGTCCCATAACTCTGGATGACAAATCAGAAAATATTCAAAACAAAATAAATGGGGAATGTGTACATGGGACATAGATGATGCCCCCGCTTGCATATAACATTATAAAGGGACATAACTCAAGAACTGTAAAAGTGACGCTACCCAAATTCGTACTTGATCTGAGTTTTGTGGTAATAAGCATTGGGTATAAGTTTCACAGTATTTGGTTGAACCAAACTTAAGTTAGAGAACGGAAACGAAAAATTCAGCAATTTTTCCATTTGTAAAGGGCATAACTCTCGAACTGTAAAAGTGACACCACCAAAATTCAAACATGATCTGTGTTTTGTGGTAATAAGCATTATGTATAAGATTCATAACATTTAGTTGATGCAAACTTAAAGTTAAAGAATGGAAACAAAAAAATTCAGCAATTTTTCCATTTGTAAAGGGGCATAATTCTAGAACGGTAAAAGTGACACCACCAACATTCAAACTTGATCTGTGTTTTGTGGTAATAAGCATTGTGTATAAGATTCAAACCAATTTTGGGATGTACAGATGTATGGACGGACGGACGGACGGATGTACTGACGGACAAGAGTAAAACTTAATGCCCACTCCGCTACAGCAGGGGCATAAAAAGTACTTTACTTTTATAAATCTCAACAACAGTATACAGTCTCAAGAAAATCAATCAGAGCATATTAGATTTAGTGCACTACATATGAAAAATTGCCTTAAATCTGACAATTAAAGTATTAGATAAACGAATTGGCTATAATCAGAATGTCCTGTATTTCAGCTAACTGTATTGAAAAGTGGAATTTTCATATAAAAGAACCTTTTATACAGTATATTATTCCTGCCAATTTCAATCCACACTAATTAAATTAAGTTTACAATATACAGTGTTCTCCCAAGGATTTTTGGATAGCACCAGGGTAACGCGTGTGGACAGCTTGGTGACATGATTCGTACAATCAGTTGTGTCGTGTCGCATCGCTTACCTATATTTCTAGTTACTATAGTTTTTATGTCTTTTGTTTTGTTTTAATAATGTGGTACTGCGTTATGTAGACATTGAGACAGAAAATTATTGGTAAAAAAAAGTAAATCAATAAACAGTTTGTATACTTTAATATCTTTTAGAAATAAACAAGCATTCTGAGAGTATTGCATGGCAATACATAGTCCCCTACCGGGTAAAAATTACATTATACTGGAACAAAATGCTAACTTGTTCTATAACTTGTCATGGTGTAAACAAAAAGTAAATATCAAGTCATTATATTTAAGCATGACTAAAAACAGTGTGAATAACTGATTATATGAGTGAATTTTTCAAGTCCAAGGACCATAACATGCAGAAAATTATCAGACCAAAACAAAAATTTGAACTTGATCTGGAACTTGTCATAAAACTATATACCAATTATCAATCAATATCTTCAAGCATGATGAAAAAAAGTGTGGAAAACACTCTTAACATTGGATATGATTAATAGTTCTCTAAAATTAGATATGATGTAATACAATGTATATCTATTTTCAAATTATAATCAAATATAATTTATAGTTCCAAATATTTTTTCTTTCATTTGTCACAAACTAATATAGATTTGTAACTTATCTATAAAGTGTCAACAACTTGTATCTACACAATGTAATGTAATGAAATATATACCTTAATAAAAATAGATTATTATCTAATTAAAGGATTTCACTTAATAATATTTTCTTTATATATATAGCATTCAGAAAATTAGTTAATACAAAATAACAAACAAACAAACTGGCACAAATTTTTCAAACAATTTACTAAAGAATTTCTTTAAAAAAATGAGTTATCTCTCTTTGTATAGAAATATGGTTTAACATAGTACTCTAACATTAGATATGGATTTTTTTTATGGACCATAACTCTGGACTAAATCATCAGAATATAACAAAATTCAAACTTGATCTACAACTTATCATGATAAAACCATATAACAAATATTAAATCAATATCTTTAAGAACGAAGAAAAAAGTGTGGAAAGCTGATTTGCCGGACTGACAGATGGACAGACAGACGGACGGACAGACGGACGGACGGACGGACGGACGGACGGACAGACAGACAGACAGACAGACAGACAGACAGACAGACAGACGACGGAGTGCAAACCTAAAGTCCCCTTCGGTAGGGGACTAATAAAGCATGATTCATTACTAAATATTCATCTAAAGAATTATAGTAATTAAATCTTTTATAATATCCATGATTAATAAAAATAAAATATCATTCAAGAGAACAAAAATGTTCAATTTAAAAAACTTTCTAGTTTATAGATAGAAATATGTTGTATATAAAAGGATTCCTGTCATAAGGAGATATAAAATCAACAGAACAAATATTGTTTTATTATTTGAACCAGTTTCTATCTTAAATTTTAATAAAAAAAAAAATTTCATAAATTGAAACATTTTGCCGTAAAATAGTTATCTGTGATCATAAAGTTATGATCTCATAATTAAAACACAAAAGAATCTATTACAAGTGTTAATTACATTGATTAAATCCAATCAAGAAGGTAAACCTCAAAAGGTAAATCGATCACGTGGTGTAAACAATCTGGTTTGAACTGGTCAAATTTCACCAGGAATTTTATACCGCACGGAAAAGATTTAACAAGTCGTATTAAACTTTACCGATTTACAATTTTTTAACTGAAAATTTTAGCACCACTGACAAAAATTATAGCACTGCGGTAAGACAGATAGAACCACACTCAAAAATTATACATCGCAGGCACGCGGTCCTTTAAGGGCCTGGGGAGAACACTGAGATAGTTTTTTTTCATGGGAAACTATGTGATATCATTACTACTAAATACCGGCATGTGACCCTACCACTATACACAACAGAAAATCTAAGGTTTTGTACAGGGTCTACAAATCATCATTCCAGTAAAGTTTGGACTTTAAACTTTAATTTTCAGGAGGAAATATTTGAAATTTCAACGATCAGAATAAATAATTGCCTGTGCAAGTGTACATGATTTCCAGCAGATTAGAAGAAATGAGATACCTTTATACCCTTATTGGACATGCCATGAATGGATTCCATCCAGCCAAAATATACGATTTTTTAAGATGTAGTATACCATCACATGACTGGTATTCCGATTGGGACTATCTGTGCCCTTCTTATTGCAGAATTGTTCCCAGTGCAGAAATATAAATTTTATGTATTGTTTAAACTCATAAAAAATACCAGGCTTATAATCTAATGCACCAGATGTGCATTTCCTCTACTCATCATTGGCATTTCAATCAATTTAAGGAGGCCAAAATTCCTCCCCAGAAAATTCCATTAAAATGCAGGTAATTATCCAACAGTTTTATTTGAGATGTGAAATTTTATTTTTTAATGTCAAATATATTTGTGTTGTGCATTCTCATAAATGTACATATTCTAATAATGGTGTAAAGATAAAAACATCCAATTTGAAATGAAGGAAAGCTATGAAATTTTTAACACAGTCAAATAACTGTATATTAGTCATCTGAACCTTTGGGATATATTCACAATGAAATGAATGCAGTTAATCTTATAACTTTAAATAATTGATTGATTGATTGATTGATTGTTGGTGTTAAACATCACATTCAGCACTATTGGCTAAATCATGGCAATCAGTTTTTATTGGTGGAGGAAGCTGGAATGCATGGATGAGAACCACAACCTTTGGCAGGAAAACTGACAGTCCTACTCAATTAAGATTGGAGTCAAACGCACCTGCTACATATGGGGTTCAAACTCACCTCAGTGTTGACAGGCTAATGATACAGTAGATGAACTGCTTAAACCATTCAATCACTGTAACTTTACATAAACTGACCACCCAGTTGAACTTTATTTCACTTGATCTCTGTTAATTAATGCACCAACAGATATCAAACAATTCACAAGGAACAAAAAAGATTTTAAAATACCTGATAAATCCTCTTCTTGTGATGATTTCAGCATGTGAATCATTTACAGTATTGCCTTCTAAACTTAGCTCTTTTCCAGTGATACAGCGATTTCCTGAAATTGTAAAATCAAATCAATGACATCAACTCAAAATGTTCTGAATGTTAAATTCTTCACATTTTAGACATCAGAATTGTTTTGATATATATATTTTTTTTTTTATTTTTCTATTTTTAATCTGATTTTGTAAGGACAGTTAAGCTGTCAAGATGACAATCATCCTACTCTTAGACTCTTAGAAACAATGGCAATTCCAAGGGGGGAGGCAAACTATCCAACATCAATAGAAAACAAATATACTGTCATATAAGTGGGAGGTTTAGCTAGCTATAAAACCAGGTTTATTGGTGGCCTTGGGCTGTTTTCTGCTATTTGGTCGGGTTGTTGTCTCTTTGACACATTTCCCATATCTGTTCTCAATTTTATTAAACCACCATTTTCTTCAGAAAATGCCTGTACCAAGTCAGGAATATGGCAGTTGTTTCACTTGTTCCTTTTATTCATAGCATGTTTAATTTTGTCAGTTTTTATGAACTTTCCCTTTTTGAATTTGCCTTAGAGTTCAATATTTTTGTTACTGGTATACTTTTTTTCTTTTATATTACATTCCTAATATAGAAAATGGTCCAGTATTTTTACCACTAAAAGGCAAAGCCCAAACTATATACAAAATCTATCACATTTATTGTTGTGCTGCAAAAAATGCACAACATATAGCAATACTATGATAGACACCTATTTAACTTTGCTAAAACTAATGAACAACAAGAAGTCACACACAGGAAGTAATATATAAATGCATAAAATTGGTATTGGGTTGGTACAACTGCTGATCAACTATCAGTTATCGTGGCACCATCTAATTAGTAGCCAATACTTTGGTACTGGCAATTTTATCTGTATAAATTTCCAATTTATAAATTACATAATTCTAGCTAACAAGGGTTGTATCTCTCAGGCAAATTTGATCTTGGACAGTTATGATTGTTCTGTAATAAAAGATAGGCAAAGATACCAAAGGGACATCCAAAGGTTATAAGTTGAAAAACAAACTGACAATGCCATAGCAAAAAACACCACAGGCAAACAACAGTATACAAAACCACAACATAAAAAACTAAAGACTGAGCAACTAATCCCACCAAAAAAACTAACTTTATATCAAGTGCGTCTGAAGACAATTTCTCCAGAAAAATGTGTCATGTAGAAATTTGAAAAATACTTTTTTTTGTATGATTGTCGTACTATCAGTCTCAAAGACATTTCCATCACCTGTCCTGTCACAGTTTTCACTCTTACATACTAATTTCCATATATAAAAAAAAACATACCTCAACTGCAGTTCCAGTATAACTTTAAGATATTTTTGTTGCCAAACCTGTTGAAACTTAACCTCTTGATTGAACTACTGACTATGCCAGTTCCAGTTACCAATACCCCATGATATTTTGATCTCCTTTCTTGATACAACTGTACTTTAAACCTAATTCTTTTACCAAAGATTTTTCTGCAACCCCTTTCCTTAAAATCGAACTATCATGACTATACTGACCTGAACCAATAGCTATCACAGTTCCCATATCAGCTTCAGACATCTTCATCACCAGCCCAGCTACAACTTTTCTACCTGCCAAATTTTCTGATATAGAAGCTACCAAAGCATTAAATTTCTGATGAGTCAAGGCAGCAATTTTGTCAAAGTGAGTCATACTAGCAGGATCAATCTTGGACACCGTTGATGACTGAAAATAATATTTTTTTAGTTCCTTTAAAATTGTACAGATCTACAAAGTTTGGTTTTTTTTGGCAAATGGGACTCTGGCCTCTTTATCAAAAACCAATTGAGCATTGAAAGTTTTTAATGGAACACATATCATCAGTATCCAGAATGTTATTGTCATTTTCCATATTTCACAAAGTGTGTCAAATTCAGATTGAACACTAAAACAATATCAAAGAGAACTAGTCTTGGTACTGTAGCAGCAAATACTGATTTGTGGTTTGACTAAGTAGGAAATCCAAACAAGACACCTACCCTTAAGGTGAGGACACTAAAACAAAACAAGACCACCTACCCTTAAGGTAAGGACACTAAAACAAAACAAGACCACCTACCCTTAAGGTAAGGACACTAAAACAAAACAAGACACCTACCCTTAAGGTAAGGACACTAAAACAAAACAAGACCACCTACCCTTAAGGTAAGGACACTAAAACAAAACAAGACCACCTACCCTTAAGGTAAGGACACTAAAACAAAACAAGACCACCTACCCTTAAGGTAAGGACACTAAAACAAAACAAGACCACCTACCCTTAAGGTAAGGACACTAAAACAAAACAAGACACCTACCCTTAAGGTAAGGACACTAAAACAAAACAAGGAAAACATTCTTTTTTTCAAAAGAGAGCAATGTTGGCTACAGCAGTGTTACCCTGTAAGTTTATTTTACAGGAACATAGTTAGGAAGAGAAAATTATGCGAAAAGCCTTGATTATTCTATATATGTTGACATGAAAATATAACATGTTCATGAATGAGGTCGTATTTGGTTTTTCCTTTGTTTTTCTTTCGTCCTTAAAAGCACTCATTAGGTGCCATTATAGTTTTCTAAAAGATTGCTGAAGTCCAATTTGCAACTTTGTGATACACATTCATATTTTTTATTACAAATTACACTAATCAACACTGTGATTTTATGTAAATATTTGATATAAACTTACAGCAGTATTAACATTGTACTCCCCAGAAGCAATCAGTATTCTCATAGCTTTATCAGCAACCTCCTTCCTTCCATCTTTTTTATTCATACATTCAACTGTAGCTAACATTTTATCACCAACATAAGCAGCCATCAAAAATCTGCCAAAAAAAGAATGATACATGTATCTTGAAATGTCAAAAGCATAAACTAACTGGACAAATTAACTGCTAGTTATCTCATATGTGTCAACTCTTAGGTATCTCATGTGTCAACTCTTTAGATATATATCTCAACTGTGTCAATTCTTTAGATATCTCATATGTGTCAAGTCTTTAGAATCTATAAATAGACTCTTCAAACATTTCAAAATCTTCTTCTTAACCCTTACCATGTGGGGACCATAATGTTACAGTCTGCACCCAAAATACCGTTATTTCACTCCAATGGCTCTCCATACTTTTAGAGGTAAACTGTATGACAGTAATTTCGAAGCTGATGCATGTTCCCTCAACTTAAGGCTATATATTGTCATGTTTCTCAGGTTTAAGGTACATTTTGAGCTCAAATGCGAACTTGGAAAATTGAAATCGGATAAAACTGGTATTTCTGATGGAGTGGGCTTCCCTTCGGTGTCTGACACACACAGTTCAGAGGCCTAAGACTTCCAAAACTAGTGTAAACCCGTGGGAATATAACTATGGATCGTGTTTATTATTGAAATACACTTAGTGAAAGACTACTTCGGGTTGCAGGTCCAGTTGAAGCCAAAAATCAGGAGAAATCGAGAAATCAGGATATTTTGGGCAAATGACCTTCTTTAGACTGCTGCACCCAGATCAGTTTCATTCCGACCTAAGCTTTGTTGTGGTAAGTGTATTTTCTGGGGTCCGCTCTACATGCAGACCACAGTGGGATACATCTATCAGCCTCCCTCTGTCTTCCAGGTCAAGAAATAGGACAAAAAATCGTCAAAATTGACGCTTTTTGCACCTAATGACCAACTTTGGGGCAGTTTTTGAAGATCATCAACTATTTCATTTGAATGAAATAAGTTTGGGATACAAGAGCAATACATATGTATGAAAAAATTTGGAGAACACATAGATTTGTAACAATTGAGATTTTACAAAATTTGAGGGGCCTTCCTAAACCTTTTACTTTTTTGTCCCCATCTTCTGAGTCTGCTGATTCCTTTTGTTGTTCATTTTTCATAAAACTAAAAGATAGTAGCTTGCTATTAAACAATCTGCATTGCATGTATTGTTGTATACATATTGAGGTTAATTAAGAATTTCATTTCCCAATAAGAGTTGAGGTTTTAATTGATCTTCATATAAAAACATGCAAATGACTTGGTCATAACATAAATTTTGTTTAAACTTAAAATCACCAACATGTAAATAAACATTCAGGTAATTAAAGGTAATTTATAGTTTTTACTGGATGACAACAACAGTCACAGGTGAATCACTTTGCTGCATGTATTGTAGCAATAATCTATCATGACTATAGCATCTACCTTATTATTAATAATACAAAAGACATGAAAGACTAACCTAGGTTTATGAGAAGGACCCTTTTGACACATAACTTCTATTCTTGCAACACTGTGCCTAGATTGAGCATATTCCATCAAGGCACTCACAGGATTTTTATTCAAAGCGGCAAAACTTTCTGCGGTCAGATCTAGGCTAGGTGGACCAGGAGGTGCTGCCACCTGGGGTCTTCCCATTACAGGTAATGACTGAAATGGTAGAGGTCGTCCCTGATTGGACATGGGTTGCTGAGATTGGGTATTTCCTGTAATGTTGACTTGAACTGACTCAAGAGGCTGCTGTGATATTAACCTTTTCTCTGGTGCTGGCAAAATAATTTTTGGAGATGAATCTGAAATAAAAAAATTATTAGTTATTTTTCACATGTGAAGAACTGTTCCATTACCATTGACCATGATAACAAAGCATTTGTCCATTGTTATGTACTATTTCCACTATGACCCTTATTCTATTGTATGAATATATACACAGAAGGACATCTTGTACATTTGTACACTGTATTATCAGCAATCCTTTGATCGTATTGCCTAATATATTTTTTAGATACTAAACTTGAAATTTGAAAATATAGGCAATGATGTGACATCACTTAATAATGCAATTCCAGGTTTTCATGTAAATCTCTGTCATTTTTTCAACAAAATGCATGCAACATCTTTTAAACAACCGAAGAACTATCAAAACACTTTAAAAGTGTTAAATTAGTTTTACTAACTTCTTCATGTAATATTGAAAAAATAGAAACATCAAGTCAAGACAAATTGCTGATAGAAATAATACTATTATAGGCAGGCGAAACAATCTATAACAATGTCCATTTTTTTTTATATAACTTTACATAGACGTGATATACAATGTATACCCATATGAACTTGCTGCAAGATCATGAAGATGAAGAGATCTTTGAAGCTGAACAAATTTAAATTTCATTGAGTTTGTACATGTTGTACACTTTATCATGTTCATAATCATGGGTTTTTATCAAAACATCATTCTGGCATCCTGTGTTCTCTCTATAAATTTGATTAATAGCATCCTGGTTAAGGGGGAATTTTACATATTATATAATCAAATCATTTCAGCAAGCATCACATCACAATGATGCTAAAAGGCACATGAGAGAACACTGACATCAAATATAGAGATGATCACAAAATATCTGTGAATTACTTTACTAGCTTGACCTTAAGATATTTTCTCCACATGTAAAATTTAGCTATATCATGTATATGATTTCAATTCGACATAGTGACCCAGGGAAATTTTTAAATTGTAAAGCAATGTATATGTATACTAAAAGAAAAACAAAGGATATGGGGTATTCATTCATGACACAAAATCAGTTCATGCACAACGAAAAAAAGGGACAATTATTTCTTTAATTAATTAAATCAGTTTTTCTTTATTATTCCTCTTTTTCCTCTCATGAACATGTATACTTACAAATGAATAAAACTAAATTTGAACAGCTTATTTAAAATGACCTTTCATTATAACATTTATGAAGCCCCTTAGGTCTCACCATTTGCCTTATAAGATGTACTTGTTTGGTTGTTCTGTCCACTCCTGTTCATCAAAGCTTGGATTCCCTTTGCAGCAGCTTCTACTAAATTAGGTTCCTCCATACCACTCTCATTTCTCTCTTGTTGAACCAATGCCATTGGAAATTGTGGTGGCTTAAAACTTGTTGTTGGTAATGTTTGCTGTGCCAATCTCTCTGCAACTGGTATTCGACCAGAAGGTTTCATACTAGAAAACTGAGACCTTTGCTCCATACTTTCTACTGAATTTGGCATGGAGTTTAACTTAGACTGGAAGACTTCTGTTTGTGTTTTATTTAATGAATTATTTATATTACTACTTTTCATAAGTGTTAATAAACTTGGTCTGACTGTCGAAGGTGAAATTTGCTGTTGAACAAGTCTTGATGATGGAGGATTCTGCAGTCTAACTGACATATTCAGTGTTCTCATCATTGGTGAATTACTAGTATTTACTTGCATGAGTGGAACTGGGTTACTTCCCCTTATTTGCTGTATCTGCCCAAATCTTGGAGCCAGAGGTAAAGATGACTGTGAATTGTTTGCACCGGAAGTGTTATGATCCAAATTACTCTGACTTGTACAAGTTGTCAACATAGGATTTTGTAGTAGTTGCCTGGGTGATGGAGGCGGGCCAGACGTTATCACTTTTTGCTTCTGCCTATTATTCGGTACATTTGTGTGCATATTTGCATCAATATTGATACCAAGTTTATCTTTAATATATTTAACTCCATTAGGAGTCATTACCCAAATATTCCCATCAAATTTAACTAAGTTTTTTCTTGCACACTTTTCCAATAAAGACTGAACTTGTTCCTCTGTCAGTTCTAGGGATTTTTTAATCACAAATGTTCTCCCCATTTGAGTTGGGCATTTTGATAATGCCTCCAATACAAGATCTTCATCAGACAAGTTCATTTCAGTTTTAATGCGCTCATTTCCCCTACACACAATATCTAATTCATTATTTACAGCATCTGTAGTCTGCATATCAGTTCTTTCAAAATCTGAAATCTGCTGTTGAGAAAAATCACTAACTAAATTGGCGTTTTCAACAGGTTCAAATTTCAAAAATGGTTGATCTGAAAAATTACTTTGTAAACTTGATGGTTGTTCACTACTACTAGATGACTGAAAACTTTCTAATCGTAAAAGCTTTAAATGCTCTTCTGTCGTATTAGTTAAATCCCAATGGAAGGTTTCTTCTTTCACATCACTCCATTCTGATTCTCCTGTGTCCATTAGTGCTGGAGCTGAATGTCCAATCGTCCAACTCACAGGTTTTTCACAGACTTTCTTGATGTAACCTTTCTTTTGCATAGCATACAATGTTGGATTGATTTCTGATGATGTCCTAAACTGGAGATATTTTGTTATGGCAATGGTCTGTGCAGGACAGTCTAGTGATTTGAGAAATTTTACAACCTGTGGAATAAGCTCTGGATTGACTTTTGTTTTCTGTTTCTATAGTAAAAAAACAGATAATACATTGATAAATAATGTTAAATATTTCTTAAATGTTTAAGATTTTGGTAACGTTTAACAATAATACTTAAAGAGAGGCTCACCTGAGCCTGTATCTCTCATCTGGAGTAAAAAGTGAAAGTCTGCTTTAGAGGACCTTTAATTTCACATGTATATATGTATACTAGTTTTCTTTTGTCCTATTGATCATTTCTGCAATTTACAATTTACATTTTTACCTTAACTCATATATATTATTTTTGAGAAAATAAATAAAATTTGAAAATCAGTGTTCAACACTTGAAAATAATCTCTCATTTGAAGAATTATTTGGGGAACTATTCCAAATTTGGTGGGTTGTGTACCAAAAATGTTAAATTCAGTGGCATAAAAGAGTTTATACGCATTATAATGCATGATAGTTTTTTTTATAGGCACTGGCTACGATTACGTTGAAAATGTAACAATAACAAAAAAGTTATTGTTACATTGGACAGTAATTAGCCAGAATGCCAGATTGGGTAAGGAACCGATTAATTATGGACGTAACAATAATATATTTGTGTCTACGGTTAAGTTGTGTTATCGTTATGTTAATGCTTAACTCGGCTTTTAAGAATCAACTTCGCATGGCTCAAATGGGAAAAAATAAAACATAAAACTATGAGTCAAGAACTATTTGTGAAGGCAATTAGTTTTTACATTTGCTGACAGCTAGGTGTCAACAGTATTTACAAAAATGATTTAGCTGACTGAGATCTACCGATTTTCATTTTCATCGTCCAGATGTATGGTGATTGTTAATTTTATTCTTATTGTCGATAGTACATGCTCTTTTGAACAGTTCATCAAATACTCCATCTGATTTTGAAACAAAATTACGTCCTCTGGGGATAAAATGCATACACAAGTAACACAAGTTCACAATATTTTAGTTCACAGCTGTCAAACTTTGCTTTGGATGAAACTATCAATTTTTCACGAACTTCGTTTACTGTAAACAGGGAAATTTTCGCAGCAGTTTTATTTTCGCTATTTTCGCAATAAGAGTTAAAACGTGAAAATAAAACTACGCAAATATTTCAAAGAAAACCAAATACAAAGATGAAGACTATTAATGACCTTATATCAATAGGATATGTAGGTTATCAATTTAAAACATCGTTTTACTGACGAAAAAACACAACTGTATTTCTATTGTCGTCTTGGCCAAATACTTTTAAACTTTTGCATTTGTTTCAAGCAAAATCTAAATCAATTACAATTAAACTGTGTAACTATCTGAAACATGCATGGAAAATTAGATCATGTATTGTGAATTAATTGTACCTTTATAACATTATGTATTGTTCTCTGCTAAATGTCGTTTTGTCACATTGTATATACTTGTCTATTTATTGCCATAGCATGTTATAAATGCTTTTTCAAATAAAATATTCATTCATTCTAAATGAAAATCAATGTTAGAAATCAAAACTTTAGCTTATGACAGTCTAATTAACATGGAAGATATCTCAAGCATGACATAACGGATATTGCTAAACAAACAACTATCGTTACTGTTATGTAAATGACACCTGTCAATCAGTTGTAAAATGATTACCTCATTGTATCTACTACACAGATCGATCAGATTAAAAGATTAATTAATTAGCAGTAATACTGTTAGCACTAAATTCACTTGTAAATTTTTTTTAGATATCTGTTTAGTTTAATTGTGTTTTACAAGCAAACATAACTTGTAACTTTAAATCTGAACCGACAAAAAGGATTTCTGATCTATTTTATCACTTGATTTAAATACATGTAAAACTGTACAGTTTCCAAATGATTTATGAAAAACTTGTTTGTGATACAGGGATATCGTGAATTCAAAACGGTGCGAATTAAGATCTTGGTGTTAAATCGCGAAAAAAAGACAGCGCGAAATTTCCTGGTTTACAGTATATAACTGTATAAAACTTGAATCTTGATATTTTTTTTCAGTTTTGATTCAAATGCATCCAAAGTATTAAATTTTTCACCCAAAGAAAATTTAGTAATGAAAATAACTTCGTTCATAGTTTAAAGTAGTATGACAGCAATAAAGATAAGTGTGCAGTTAAATAGACAAAATTAAGTAAACACTTTTCTTTTAATCGAACCATTGATCAAAAACAACAACAATAATAAAAGTATAATAAAAATAAGAATAAGAATAAGAATAATAAAAATAAAAATAAAAATAATAACAATGATAATAATAATGATAACAATAATAATAATGATAATAATAATAATAATAACAATAATAATGATAATAATAATAATAATAATAATTATAATTATTATTATCAAGCATATCAGAGAATTCAGCAACAAAACTAAAGTTTAATAAATCTAACATAACAATAACACAACGTGAACGAAGACACAATTATTATTGTTACGTTCATAATTTATAATCCGTTCCTAACCCAACATAGCACTCCAGCAATTGGTATCCAATGTAACAATAACTTTTTTGTTATTGTTACATTTCAACATAATCGTAGAGGTTGGCCCCGCTATTCTGACACCCCATTGGACCGACACCCTATTAGTCCAACACCCAAATAGTCTGACTGAAGCTGTAATTGAAAATCTACTTTTTCGTACTCCATGTATACCTTTCAACAAAATTATTTTTATCTACCTGTGTATGTTATTTTATTTGCGGCATTTTGTCCAAGGTTATGGTTGTCTTTCTGATATTGGTAAACATCTAACCCCCTTGTTTTATTAATTTTGTATTTACATTGTGTCATAGATCAAATTTATTCGTTCAGTGTATGTTCACTTGTTTTTGTTAATATGTCTTTTGATTGAGTTTATAAGCCATTTCAATTGATATTTTATAGTGTGTCTTTCTATGTTGTGATGTTACACTATTGTTTCAGGTAGGGTGAAGGTTGTCACCTATTAAAACATCTAAACCCGCTGCATTTGTTTGCACCTGTCCTACATTTGTAAGTCAGGAACCTGATGTTCAGTGGTTGTCGTTTGTTGATGTGGTTCATAACTGTTTCTCGTTTCTCGTTTTTTATATAGATTAGACTGTTGGTTTTCCTGTTTGAATGGTTTGACACTTGTCATTTTCAGTCTTTATAGATTGCTGTTCGGTGTGAGCTAAGACTCCGTGTTGAAGGCGGTACTTTGACCTATAATGGTTTACTTTTACAAATTGTGACTTGGATGGAGAGTTGTCTCATTGGCACTCATCATGCTCATACCACATCTTCTTATATCTATTCATACAAAAAATGGAAAAGACAGCAATTCCCAACTTGTACATGTATGTAAGAAATACCATTATCCTATTCATATAAGGCAAACGACAACCTTTCAATATTTTGCTTTACAAATACAAAGTGTGACCTAGCTCTTTTATAAAAATCACTACGATAAAAAGATAATTTTGTTGATTGATTGCTGTGCCAAATAATTCATGCATGTTAAGGACGAAAACAAATTAATAATTAATACAAAAGGTATGTCCTGTAATAAAGAATCGACCAGGATGGAGGGCGGAAAATTTGGACTGCAGTGGGAAAATGGGGGTATATTGCATAGTCATAGAAATTTGGCCTGGCAACAGACTGTCATGGAATAGAAGTTCCTTTATAAAATATGTTCTAAATATCGAATAGAATTTCCATTGAAAAAAAAATGTATTATTTGTTCCTGACGGAATAAAGGCTATATATAATATTTGTTCCAAAAGGAACATATATTATAGCATTGTTTATAACAAAGTTTCCAGGGGAGTCGGACTAATTGGGTGTGGGAGTAATTGGGCTGCCCCAATCGTAGCCAGTGCCTTTTATACAATGGTGATCATAATCTGCAGTTTTACTTTCAGCGAGTTCAGAAGGTAACTGGTACATTGTACATACATGTATATGGTATAAGTTTCCTAATAATATGTTGGAAAAAGTCATTGTTGCCTGCCAGATTTGTAATTAATAGTGTCATTACAGTACACTGAGAGAAGACTAAACAATAAATTTTCTCAAAATTCAAAAGTGAAAGTAAAATGGAAATAAAAATGAAAGTAGAAATATGAGGGCATAAGAACTTTACTCTAGAGCTCGGTGTAAATGAAAATACGATAAGATTTACTTTAAATCCACTATAACGAGCAATGTTCTTCTGCTGGTAGTGATATGGTTTGGAATTAAAATGCTTTCTCGGCATTCTTCTGTTCCTCAAATTTGTCTGCCAAGAAGGTGGTTTTTCGTTCGTTTTTATTAGGTTTCCTGATCGCCTTAGTCTATAAAGATTGGCATTTAATGTTCGCTTATCAACTTTCACTGCTCTCAAAATTTGTGACAGTTCCGCCTCGTTATTATGCTGTGACTCTAGAAAATCAAAAATTCTCTGCTCAAGCTGCCCATCTCCAGCCATATTGAAAACTAATATAAAGAGACGATCTTGGAATAAGCATTGAAAAACTCCGGAAAATATCATACAGGTTCCCATCAGGAAAAAGCAAAGACAACCGTATGATAATGTATGACTAAATAAAAAAAAGTATTTCGTAAATTAAAATAAAATACATTAATAAGCGGTATTGATTTCATTAATTTGTCTAGTATTTTTCATGACTCTACTGTTCAAAACTTTATGACTCCATATTTTGATAATATAGAGCCACCTATAATTTCTTATTCGTATAAAAAAAAAACAGTAGAAGTTACATATCAGACGTCAATATATGAGTATAGAAAATAATGCTCATTCGACATGAGACTGTGAAACATCAAAGTTTAGATATGATCCCTATGACCATGTAATTACAGCGGACCTGAACATCGCTCAAGACCGAGAGGTTATTAACTTTCTGAAAAAAAAGGCCAAAATATTGTCCACCGTCGAAAATAAATTCGGAAGAGTGTCGTCAGTTTATTAAAGATGCTCTTTCATCCTATTGTAAAAAATGGTGTAAACGGGAGAAATCTGACAAAAAGTCACTTGATTCCTATTTGAATAAATGCCCTTATGGAACTGAATTGTTTGCCGCAAACTTGCAGCAGACTTGCTGCAAGCATGCGGTAAACAAAAAGTTTGCAGGAACACAGAAAATAGTGTTTGTAGAGGTTGGCCGCTAGCTGCAAACTTCCGGAAAACATTGCAGTTTTTTGCTGCAAGCTTACTGCAAATTTGCAGAAACATCAATGTTTGCCGTAAGATTGCCAGAAAGTTAAGATAATAAAAAATGTTTGCCGCAAGATTGCAGAAAACTTTGACCATTCTATATGTTTGCCAGAACATTGCAAGAATTACACAATATTGACTGGGCATGCCTAGTTGGCACTTCCTGGAAGCTAACAATTTGAAATTGTGGCTAGGTCATGTTGATTGTGTTTGGAAAATGCATTTCAAATATAAGAGATCAAAGAGGCATTTTGGTTCACTAATACAGGATATTTAATATGTAATTTTGTAAGTACAAATAATTCATAGAATGCATGTTTAATAAAATAATTAATGTCACCATCATACATAATTAAGTAAGATACTATATATATAATATATATGTGTGTTTGAAAAAACATCAGCTATTATAAGTTTGAATTTTGTAACTGCATTATGTACTGTACCATGCTTATTAAAATTAAGGTCAATTCTGTTATGCAATTATTACCTAGCTTTATACCCAATACACATTTGAGATTTATCCTTTTTCATTTCTTAATACAGGTATACAATGTCATTTGAGAATGACCCCTGACCTTTTTTCAAAACTCAAATGCAAGTATGTATTTCCTTAAATCTTTAAGTTTGCAAGAATTCTTTCAAAGACTGTTTGTATACAGGCAGGAATTCTTTTTAAAAATGTTGCTGTGTAATTTGAAGAGATAAATTGAATGTGTCTACACACATGCCATTAGTGTATGTGTAGTTCCTGCAAGTTTGCCGCAAGTTTGCAACAAACAATTGCCGCAAGCTTGCAGCAAACAATTGCCGCAAGCTTGCGGCAAATCTAATTTGCATAATTATGTTTGCAGCAAGCTTGCCGCAACCTTCATTTGCATGGTAAAATGGTTGCGGCAAGTTTGCAGCAAATGTTTGCTGCAAGCTTACGGCAATGTTTGCTGCAAACTTGCGGCAAAAGGTTGCCGCAGGGCTTATTTTTCGGTAAGGGTGTCTGAATATTGTTGATATTCGCATATCACATTTAAAAAATAATTTAGAAATAGATAAAAGAATAAGTAATACGCCCATTTCTAGGATTTAAAACAAAATTCAAGTACTCGCAAAGCGTTTAGTGTTCGTACCGGCCGACAAAGCAGCCAACAATGTGGTGGTGGTGTTATGACGTAAATACTACACGGAAGTCCTTAAGGATGTACACCACGGAGGAGCCAAAAATTTCTAGAATTAAACTTTTTTCTTTACCTGATTTTTGGGTTCATATGACTGTAAGAAAGTAATTGATGAAGAACAAATCATATGGTGGTGCACTTCGATCATTTTTTGCTACGGCCATTTGAACATTTTTAATGATTTTCGAGTTTTTCATCATTTTTTACCCATTTTTGGGCTAATATCATGAAAAAAATCACAGTTTCACAATCAAACTTTTTTTCATACTTTCACTAAAAATGAAGTGGACCAATCTGAATAAAGTTAACTTAACAAAAAAACTATAGGTTGGTGTTAATATTAAAAAGTTTTATAAAATGTTGTTGCTTTTTCGTGTCAAATTGACCATGCTGTCAATTTTGAAAAGAAAAAATTGATATGGGATGTACATGTTTTGGAAAAAAATCATTTCTTTGTACTCCTCACCAATTTTCTCAACATTTTGGCTGATGACAATGACCGGATTGGTTATAAAATTTGAAAATGTTGTTACTCAAAAACTACTTATTGTAAGTACACAATTTTTTCGCAGAGTTTAGTTTGATTATAATATTTTTTAAATTCATTGATATTTTCCACTTGTATCACATGTTTTAGAAATAATTCACGAACGAGATTTCAAAGAGACTGAAACATCAGAAGAATACATCATTAAGAATGAAATTATATATTCAACTACATTCAAAGCCGTACGCTCCACAGAGAGTCATATAGTAAATAATCATGTCACAACCACAGCTCAGCTTTAAGCCTTTTCTGAACATTTGAAGGTCCCAACTATGCATTGGTTACCTAAACTACACAAAAAACCCGTAAAATATCGTTTCATCTCGGCTTCTTGTAAGTGTTCTACTACTAGACTTTCAGTGCTTTTAACGAGTTCCTTAACTACTATCAAAGAACTGATCATTAATTTTTGTTATAAAACATATGAAAGTAGTAGAATTAATTTTTGGAGTGTAAAAAATCTTTGGATGTTTTAGATAAATTACGTGCTTTTGATGGTCTTCTTGATTCGGTTGACAGTTTTGACCTTCCACTTTTTACACTGCACTTCCACACAATCTTATCAAACAAAAGTTTTCCTATTTAACTAAATGGTCGTTCGATAAATCTGATTGCATGCAAATTTATTTGCTGCAACTCATATAAAGCCTAAGAGAATGGTAAATATGCTTGATATACTTACTGGAGGTGTGGTGAGATGATCAAAGCCATAAATTTTTTGACAATAAAGTTTATAGACAGAGTGTAGGTATTCCTATGGGCACCAATTGTGCCCCTTTAATAGCAGACTTGTTCGTGTACTGTTATGAATCACAGTTTATTGCCAAACTCAGTAAAGACCCTTCTAAATTCCATTTAATTGATAAATTTAACAACACTTACCGTTATCTTGATATTTTTTCGTTAAATAATCAAGAATTTTCTAAATATACTGCAAAAATTTAACAACAGGAACTTACCTTAAATAAATCAAATATTAACAGCAATAAGTGTCCTTTCCTAGATTTAGACATTTCAGTTTTTCACCAGAAACTCTACACAAAAATTTACGATAAAAGGGATGATTTTTCTTTTTCTATTGTTAATTTCTTTTTTTGGACGGTGATGTTCCTCTGGCACCATCTTACGGTGTTTATATATCCAAACTCGTTAGTTGTGCCCGTGTCTGTAGTGACGTTTTGGATTTCAATGAGCGTAATCAATGCATCACTGATAAATTATTAAGTCAGGGATTTCGTTACCACAAATTACTTAAAACCTTTACTAAATTCCTCCATATATACAAAGACTTGGTTTGCAAGTTTGGCTGTATCTGTAAAAAAACTAATTTCAGACGGAATAGCACGTCCTAAATTTTACGATGATGTTGTTTACCGAGCCAGGAAATTTATATACGATCCGGGTAAACTTATCAATCCCCTGAATAAACTTATTCTAAAAGGTTACCAATTCAACACTGTAATTAGATCTTTGAATATTGTTTTTATTGGTACAAATATTTATTTTGCTATCAGTGAACTAAAATCATACTAAATAGTTTTGTTATACACATATGCACTTTAACGGTACTGCAATCTTTCGATACCTTTATTTTGGCATTGCACAAGGTCATTTTTTTCTCTGACTGTTAATGACGTCTTTACACTAAATCCATTGGATGTTGGATGTGTACTGATTGATATTTTAGTCTTAGAGTAATTACATGATTTTTTTATTAGTTCTTATTAGCTTTGAACTAGCTGTCAGTAACTGCGAGTTACTCTCAGATCTGTACTTAAGTGTCCTTTTTGTTGAACATTAGGGATGAGGGATAGATAAATACCCTGCCACGTCCAATCTGTGTTTTTGTTTGATTGTTCTGCTTTGTATCGATCTGATGAGTCAAGCCTTTTTGAACCGATTTTTATAGTTTGTTCTTATGTTGTGCTGTTTCACCACTTTCTCAGCGCTCACGAACATGTTTAACCCCGCCACATTCTTTATGTGCCTGTCCCAAGTAAGGAGCCTGCAGTTCAGTGGTTGTCGTTGGTTCATGTCGGTCATATTTGTTTTTCGTAATTTGTTTCGTTATAAATTTGGCCGTTAGTTTTCTCAATTGAATTGTTTCATATTTTTTATGTCGGGTCCTTTTATAGCTGACTATACGGTATGGTCTTTTCTCATTGTTGAAGGCCGTTTAGTTGCCTATTATTGCTTACATCCACTTCATTTGAACTTTGGCGGAAAGTTGTCTCATTGGCAATCATACCTCTTCTCCTTATATTTATAAACATATATAAGACAAAAAGATATCTGGAACAAAATGGTGAAAGAAAGGGGTATCGGCTCCGTTCGCCCTGGGTTCGTTCGCCCATAGATTCTGTTCGCCCTGGGTTTGTACGCCCTACATTTATAAAATAATGGTAAATAGAAATGGTATTATTAAGGTTTTATAAACTTATTCAGATATTTATAAGGTAAATATTAAAGAAAATACATATTTCTGAAAAATCATTAAAAAAAAACCATAGAAATATCTAAAAATTA